AATTTTCTAAATTTTTTAGGGACCCCACAGGCCGGATAGACTGGGCTGGCAGGCTGTATCTTGCCCATGGGTCATATTTTTCCTGCCCCTGATGTATACAATACAGACTGTGATCTTTTAAGAACAGAAACAGCTGCATGACCCAAGATTTATATACTCAGAGTTCAGACCTTGAATACCATGTCCTGAGCTTCTTGAAGCAGTACCCAGGAGTGCAATTTTACTTGTTAATATCTACTGAAATACTCATTTTAAGAATTCTCATTTCAAGGTTCAGCAAGCAGCAGAAAAATCAATATGCATCATTTTTAGCTAAGTAACATTTTGATTGTAATACTGAATAAAACCTCCTAGAATTTTAAGATACTCAAAAGACTTCAAATTTCAATCAATTTATCATTAAAGTTTCCATAGCTGAGTATTTAAATAAAATACAAAACAAAAAAAAAAAAAGCTAACAGGCACTGCTCCAAACTAGTCAATCTGAAGATGGTTCTGAAGCCTATTCCCAAGCACATGAAGGTTGCCATCTATGCTTAGGGCCCTCTCTACACATGCAGCTAACGGTGCAATGGGATCAAATGAACAATTCACACAACGGCACCCTCTGCTACACCATACGTGCGTGGCAGGAGGTGCGATTGCGGAACTGCACATTAGTTCCCATTTCACCTTATTGCCAGTGCAGGGGAAGCACAATCCCAGGCTACCCCTGCACCAATGAGAAGCAATCTCCTGTGGCTGGGAACCCCATGTATCCCCAGGGTTGGAGGATCACCACAGGGGCAATCCCCCCACTCTGGGGTTGCGGAAAAACCCCCAGGGCCAGTGGATTACCACAGACCTCCTTGGGGGCAGGGGGTGGAAACTGGCCCCAGGGGTTTTCCATAACCCTGAGCCCTAAGGATTGTGGCAGCTTCAGTCCCTATGGCTCGGGGGTTTGAAAGAAACCCCCAGACCCTGGAGATCACAGCTGCTGCAATTGCTAGAGATCTAGGGTGTTATGCTGGACACAGCACACTCCTATAGCTGGAAGCCCCATTAGCTGATGGAGCTCCCAGACAAAGGGAAGACCCTGCTACATGTGCAAATTAAAGCTCAATATCAACCAGTTATAAAGTTAGTACACATTTTTTAAGTCTATCTTTATAGCTGGTTGGAGCTTTTTATTTTGTGATCGTTACTTTGCACATGTAACTAGTCACCAAATGCTTGCGCAATTAACCAGTTAACCACACAATACCTGCAATGTGTCGGGGGGCCTTAGTTCCAGAACATTCACAATTTTAGTACATCTTAGAAACCAAGTGTGAAAATACCTTCAATTTGAACTGAGAGAATTCCCAAGTCACGAAGCTGCTGGTTGTTGTTCTGAGCCAAAATTCGCAGCCGCTCTGCAGCTTCTCGGGGTATGTTAAAAGTAACACGTACACTGTTCCAGGGTTCTACCTTCTGCAATTTTAACTTGCTGGATTCTTAATTAAAAGAAAAATACAATATGAAATAATTCTTCAAATAGAAACAATAAACTAACATAACAGAACATAGCCAAATATGTATCTCAGGCTTCCATCTATCAAAATTATCTACCGTTATTTCATTAGCTGGAGACAAGCAAAGTTGTCTAAACACGGTTGCATATTAATTTCTACATGCCAAACCATACCTGTTATTTCCCTTAAAAACAAACTATATCAAAAAACCTCACAAGACAGGTTTACAGCACAGCCAGAGTACCTGAGTGAAACTATTTAAAAATTGAACCCTTTCTTTGCAAATAAACTAGTTTGTAAGGGTGGGATTATTCATACTAGATAGGTTTACCTAACGGTCATATACTAGACTCCCTTCACAGAGAAGCTAAATTTAAGAGTGCATGCTGATCTTTTATTTTTGTAATAATTCTCACTTCTATACATGCTTTACAAAATGTTATACCAATATTTAAAAAAAAAAAAAAAAACAACAATGCCAACTGAGAGTTCTCTGAGACTTCTCTTTCAGTAGGATGCATGAAAAAACAATATCCTCAACTTCATCTAGCACGTTAATTTTCTGTTGATAATTAAATCCCATCCAAATACAGAAAGCATGTACATAAGACATTATATCTTGTATTTTTGGCAGGTTTTCCAAATATTTAAACTATACTGTAAATACTCCAACAACCTTTATCCTTACCAGAAGTTATTTAAACAGAAAAAAGGTGAAAGCCAGGAAAGTTTTATTGAACACCTTTAGTTAAGTTAGAGTTATCCATAATGTGTTACTCCACAGTACATTAAAACCATCTCAAAAGTTGTTCCTAATATAGATTTTCAGGTCTATAATTTTTAAACTCTTTGGAAAAGATGGCCTCTAAAATCTGGCCTATATTTGCTATTTCCATATTATTTAAAGACTTAAGTCACTTGTTAATTATTTGCTCTTTAAGACCTCTCTCCTGTGAAAGCAATAACCATCCTTACCCAGTACCTTATTTCCTGCCACTTTAGTAATCTCAGTATTTCCAGTTTATCCTCTTTACTACTCACAGACACTGCTTCTGAGGGTGTCTTATTTAATCCTCTTTGTCGCATTCTGCCACAAAGAACTAATTCTTTGGCCATTTCCTTTTCAGTAATCAATAGTTCTTTATTTTTCTATCCTATTAACAGCCTGGTTGAAACTCATTTTTAAACCTCTACAAGAGATGTATTACTGGTTTTAATATCTCTAGTTGCTAGTCCTCCAGTTTCCCTTCTTGCCTTTATAATATTATACTACTACTTCCAATACATCTCTTCAGTTTACACTCTACATAGAACAAAACAGAGCTTTCAAGCTGTATCAGCTTAAGCCAGGGATTCTTAACCTTTTTAGACTAAAGGTATCGCTCAGAAAATGCCAGCTCTTACCTTTCACTCATATTTTACTACGAAAAAGACAGAGCAATTCTTCCTTCGCAAGGAACACAATGGATTCCTATATGAAATCTCTGGGTTTAATCCTGTGAACACTGCATAAATGTTTGCACACTTAAGAAATAAAATTGTGTGGTACCCCATGGCACCTTTAAAAAGATCTAGTACCAAGTCACCCTGGTTCAGAACCACTGATTTAAGCCAACTGGCATGTCATCCACATTAGTCTGAGAAGCCTGGTTCAAGTGAAGATGTTCACTTCTTTAGGTTTTAACCAATGTTCTTCAATTTACCAGAACGCTGCATATTCCAACATGTACTTTTTTACTGAATACATCAGTGGTCCTCAGCTGGTGATCCCCCTCGCCACCTCATACTCAAATCCAAGATGAGGGGCTTTCCCTCCCCCCATGTTAAACGGGAAAACACCTCATCCTGGATTCAAGTAAATGCAGAATTTTGTGAAACAATAACCCTGCTACATTTTGTAACAATCTAAATTGGTGTCAAACAACCAGTCTTAACTGGCCCAGCAGCCACATGAGCAGTGAGTGTTAACCAGAGCCCTACAACAGCATATGCATCTCTAGGTGACTTGTCTGTGTCAAGGAGCATTGGTCTGAGTATCACTGATCTAGAATAACTTAATTTAGAACAATATGACTAGTTGTCTACATACATGGCTATTTCAAGGAAACAGCAGTTGGAAAAAAAAAATGAGAAGAAAATAAATTACCCATGTGTAAAAGGCCAGGCACATTCTCCAATATGATACCTAGTTTCTTTTTAAAGTCCTTGTCATCTATATTTCCTTTAAAAGCTACAAAGATTGTGGAATCTTCTGTACTGTCCGGTTTCAGGTCATCTTCCTCCAGTCCAGAGTCAAAATCCACCTCAGAGTCTTCCATAGTTGAGGAGCACCAGGAAGTGTGGATATTTTTTAAGTTAGGTAGATCATCTGAAACCATGGCTATTTTCCAGCAGTGTAAGCCAGTCAGAATTTAAAAGGAAGCTTTGAAAAAAAAATATTTATTGTAAAATAAGTATAACTGGGCATGTAATTCATGAGAATACCACAAGTACTAAATGCTAATTTCTATAGAAACAGAAGTCAGTAAAGTGTTATAGTGTTACAGTGTAAAAATTTAATACTAAAGACTCTGAAATACTGCAGCATCACATTAACCTTCCATTCAGAAAAAAAAGTGGAAGAGAGGGAGAAGAGCAGCAGCAATGAAGCAGCTCAGAGAAACATTCCTAGCTTTCTACTACATCTCCACCCTCAGGCTTCCATCATGAACACCACCCACCATAAAGAACACAAGCAGATAGGATACAATAGCAACACTTAAAAAAAAAGCAGCATAATTCTATTTTCTTTTCTTTTTTTCTCTTCTCTTAAACCACAAAAATGTAAAGCATTAGAGAGATCACATGAACCAAGCTGGAACAGCTACGGTAGGTAGATAGAATGGCCTCTATATTCCCATCAAGCTTTTCCTAATGTTATAGTTATTAAACACCTAACACCAATAGTTCTTTACAATTTTCTACTGACACTGATTGCTAAAACCCCTTATATATGCTTATGACTGCTGGTAAGATTTTCCAAAAGCATTAATGAGGGAACTGGCCACTCTGACAAAGAATAGCCTTGTCCACATACTGCAGGAGATTTAGGTGCAAGTATCAAGACCTCCTTGTCACTGCATATTTCAGCAGTTTGGGTAACATGGAGAAGATTAAATAAAAACAGCTGAAGTATTTAATAACAGAACTTTTAAGCCCTAACTACTACAGCCTCAAAGAACGCTGGCAGAATTTAAGGAGGCCATGTTGTCTACAAACATCATAGAAGGCAAACAGGGACTGCTAATATGTAATAAGTAACCCACCAGGCATCCCAGCGGCTGCAAGACAAACAGGTTGATCTCAAAAACTGTAGTCATCATAATATCCAGGTTGTTGGCCCGCTAGAGTTAACCGAAGGGACTGGCTCACAGATTTCTTCCACACTTGATTAATCAGAAGTACTCCAGTTGACCTGTAAAAGTCAGTTTAAACTGATTTTTTTTAAAATTATTATTTATTTATTTTTACACTCACCGCCATACCAGAACAGAGTACTGGCTTAGTGAGCCCATTACTCTGTTCTGTAGATGAAATCCTTCTCTTAAGCACAGCCAGGATCTTGTAAAATTTAAGAACATTCCGTATTAAAAGGAGTGCACCAACAGAGATTTTTGGGGCTGATACCAATAGCCAATATTTAAGAAGGCATATCGGCCAATACCAATCTGATTTCCAATACAGCTGTCTCCAGCTGGCAAGTTCAGTGTGGTGGAAGGGGAGATGGGAAGGATGGGGCATGGGGGGGACCGTGCAGGGATCTTCTCAGCAGGGGCTGGGCTCAGAGCAGACGCCAGCAGGCAGGGAGGATGCTGCATCCACCCCAAGTTTCACCACCCCTCGAGTCCTAGCACTGCCACAGCCAGCCGCCTGGAGCAATCCCGGCTCAATGCCCCACCTCCACCCACGCACCAGGAAGCGCTGGGGTTGTGCCAAGTGGCTGGCGGTGGTGGCGCTGGGAGCAGAGCAGCAGTCAAGTTTGGAGTGGATGCAGAATCCTCTCAGCCCGCTGGGGCCTGCTCCAAGACCAGCCCCCGCCAAGAAGAGCCCTGCGCAGCCCCAGCCGCAGCCCACCCCATGCAGATGTGGGGGGCACACGCCCCCCCATGCCCTCCTGGGGTGCAAGCAGCAGCAGGAGCCACCTCCCTGCTCCTGCCCTGCTCCCCACAACGCATAGGCAGCACCTGCCCCTGCCCCCTTCCTCACCCATCGGGCCGATATCCAATACAGCCAGTTTTCCTTATATCGGTATTGATCCAATATCGAACCGATGCATCGGTGTACCTCTACTTAAGTTGGTTTTCAAGGATTTTTACATGGAGACAGAAAGAAATGCCAAGTTTTTAAAACCAAGCCACATGCAACTTCAGGGAACAGAATATGCACTCCTTTATCCAATAAGTGAAAGGAAACCCAAAATAGCTAAGCCAACTATTCTGATCTCTGGATGAGTGAGACCTGAACTACTATTCTTTGCAAAATGCGTATTCTGTTTGCAAAGATCTCTGAATACATAATGACCTACAATTTCTACAAGTCTGAGGCTTAACCCCTATACTCTCTCCAACTGTATTTTGGATGGCCGACTTATTCTATTCACTATTAATGTAATATTACTTAAATTCCTATTCCAGGTATTAGCCATAAATTTGATTAGGGTACAACTAGGCCATAAATATAATCTACACTATTAGTTGCTATGTTTGCATATACATGATTTGTCTATGTTGTACAATGATAGGTGATAAGAAAGTGGATACTTGCCAGGGGTGCCCATTTTTTGCCCAATGCTAGCTGTTGCCAAAGCCTAGAGACCTGTATACTAGGCATGTGCGAATAGGGAAGTATTCAATTCGGATCTGGCTGATTCAGAGGATTCAAATCACTGTCGCCATTCGATTCAGCTAAATCAGAAATTGGAGATTAAGTGCTGATTTGAAGATTTGGATGGGCTGGGGAGAGGCAGGAACAGGCACAGGTGGCTGCAGGTTCCCCATCAAGGGATAGGGATGGGGCTGGGCAGGACAGGGCAGCCATGGGGGCTCCTTCTGTGACTCCCCCCACCCGAGGAGAAGCAGGCACAGCCAGAGGAGGCACAGGAGTACTTGTAGCTGCCTGGCTCTGCCTGCCTCTCCCCACCCAATCCTAATCCCTCTGAATCTTTTTTATTCGGATTCCATTTGGACCTTTTAATGGGTCTCCCAGTTCAATTTGGATTTGGAGATTCGGCCACCAAATCAGGCTGAATCTCCTCCGAATCAAATCGGCGACCAAAGCTTTGCACAGCCCTGCTGCATAAACATATAGTGCACTGGTCCTAGGTTGGCTTGTCAATTTGCTAGCCACAAACTTTCAGCATGTGGCTGAAATAGTACTTATCTTCTCTATACCTTTCAGGGCGAGTTAAGAAAACTCATTCCTTGCAATTACTGCCAAAAACAAACCAATTTCCCAAGAACCAAGACTATAAAGAACAAGTTATTTAAGTTCAAGAGTACTCAGAAACATCCACGAAAACCTTTATAGCTCAAGATGGCAAGCTTCAGAGCAGGATGTAGGTAATTTTTGGCAGAGGTCCAAAAATAAGCCTTGATTAAAAAAAGTGATAGGTCAGAGCTTAAAGGTGATTTGCAAGGGGATTTAAGAAAAATCAGCCCCTTCCTTTTTTTAAAGCAAGTAAAGTCAACCTAAAAAGCTTCTTTCAAAAATAAAATTTAAAAAAGTTACAAGACCTTGGACTTCTGCATTTAACATATATATATCACGGCTGATAAAACTGTATGTATGTACATTTTGAATGCTTGCACCTTTGAAACCTTGATGTTCTTTCTGCATAATTTTATGCATTGTCACATTGCCTGCACACAAAAATGCACATCTTGTCTATGTTCTTCCTGAAAGACTCCAGATAATAGAGGGTGTTTATCCACGTGCTCTGGGGGGAGGGGCAGGAGGCGGAGTTAATTAGAACAGCTCCAGGACAACCACTCATTAAAACGCCACAGCATTCTGTATATTCAGTATCCTGTGTTTCAAAACGGCCTCAGAGATGCTTTAACCATAGCTCATTCAATGAGTTTTAGTTAAAGCACCCCCACCCCCATTTTGAAATGCAGGAGGCTGAATACACATGACGGCAAGGGAGAATGGAGCATTCCAATTAGAATGTCAGAGCACATGTATAGGTATCCAAAATACAGAGAGTAGCGCTACTTCAAGACAAGTATTAAGGAAGTAAGAAATGAACAATTAAGATGGGAAGGGATTTTCAGGTACTATTTAAGATTTTTTGGGGGGTTGAAAAGTCTAAATAAACTTTTTAGGGGGAAAAAAAGATCTCTATTTACAGTTCTGTATACCTGCCAGAAAGGACAGAGAAAGCCCCTTTACAGTTCTCCACACTTACAGAAGAGAAGGAAAAATAAAGCCTTTTTGAGTGATGGGGAGAAGTCTTTCAAGCCTTTGTTGTATTGAGGAAAAAGAAAATACATAAAAAGGTAGAAAGGCTCCATTTCTCCTTCTTTGTAAATCTCTTTCAGGAAACTGACAAATGGAAAACAATCTCAGACATAATCAAAAAAATACAGGTGGACTACATGCCTGATGGATTTCAGTCAGAAGTTTACCACACACCGAAGTCATTCCACTTGCACCAGCTTTTTAATCATAAACTTCCCTTTTAATTTCTTTCCCATTAGATCTAAAATAGCAATCTTTCCCTTGACTATGGATAAAACAAAATCACGATTTAAAAGGGCCCGTAGAGTATAAGATCTTCACAAAGATACTGCAGCTCAGATTGAATTACATCTGAATTTTAATGTACCAGATCTAACAAGATCTGTTAAAATTATAATCAGTATGGACAAAGATGTTCTACAAATCATAATATAATATAGTCTGCTAAATCCCTAAGGATTATAGCCATTGTTCCACCTGACAAGGAAAGCTTTTGATTGTACTAAGTTTTAAAACTTTCCTTAAATTTTTATACATTTTACTGTTTGGCTAAAGCACAACATTTAGGCTCATCAGCAGAAGTTCCTTTCTAAACATGGTCCTTTTACCTTTCACACTCAAACAGTATACTTATCAGGGATGCCTAATACATGCATCTGTTCTCTCAGATGACACACACTTTGGGTTTGATTCATACATATTCAGGGTCAGGGACAACCTATCTTGGCTATAATATGAGGGAAGTGGGAATACAAAGAGTCTGGAAAAAGTCTTCCTCTATAGAAAGAGCACCATTGTTTCCTAAATCAAATCGTGATGGTGCTCCTATTAAAAACAAAATGTTTATGGAGTAGAGAAAGATATTTTGGTCTCAAATCAGGCAGAAGGCAGGGCAAAGTGGCACCTTGGAGACCAACTGATTCATGCTAAATTTCATAGCATATAACGAAGTATGCTGTTGCTTATGAAACCTTATGCCTTTCTAAACAAGTTAGTCTCTAAGGTACCATCCTGCCCTGCCTTCTGCCAAAATCTTTATATGTATTTGTTTATAAAATTACTTTCTATAAATGACTAACTGGCCAATTATGTACCTACATTCAACAGTCCTTTCCAAACAGGTGCACATATCTCTGCTAAATTTTATACTGTTTAATAATTCCTTCAACTAGATTAGCCAAAATTAAAGATATTTCAGTGGGACACTGGTAAGCAAAATCACTAGAAACAAGCTGAATATGAATTCATGCAATTTCACAATATCTCCTTAATTATAACCCAAACATAGTCCAGAAATTGCAACCAGCACTCAGATTTATCTGCTTTTCAATAGCATACTTTGCTTAAAGAATAATGAGGCTTGTTTCTGTTGTAGTTTTACTACTATAGAGTTTCCCATGCAGCATTTCTCATGGAACAATTGATTCCAGACCCCAGTTATGTTACCTGATAATGATTTACAACAGTGGTGCCCAACCTTTTTTGCCCTGTGGGCCCGATCCCAACATACAGCTTCCCACCCATGACCCCAGCTTCATGCAGCCACATTGGGGCTGGAAACTGATCCCTCCGTGGCTGCATGGCACTTGGAAATTTGGCAGTGTAGGAGCAGTTACAGTGATAATTGTCATAGCTCCCCCAAATATCCAGACCTGTGGGGAGTCCCACAGGCCAGATGACACGGCTCCATGGGACAGATACGGCCTGCAGGCTGGGGGTTAAGCATCCCTGATTTACATTTATGTTGAAACTTAACATTCCCATCAATCATAGCCCATTTTAAGAAGTTGAGGTAAGATCAGTTTTTATGATAAAGTAAATTTGGAAAAGGCTTTTCTTCTCTCACTGCAACTCCAAAATACAGCTGAGCTCAAACTAATATTGACTCATCTCTTCTATAGTTCTGTGATATCTTCTGCAATTACATGCTTTATACAAACTTCCAGCCAGCTCAGTAAATATTTTCAAAGCACATGATTTCAAGCAGAGCACACTCTGGCCAGCACCAAGCAAAATGGGGGATGAGCACATGCTGAGAGCAGAGGGCCTTACAGACAAAAGGGGCCTGGGGTCCTGCTACTAACCTGAGAGTGATCTCCCAAAGTAGAGATGGACAGAGTTTCCTTACAAGAATTCTCATCCTTTACTAATGGATCTGGGGAGCTGAAAAAAGGCACTAAGGACTGGAACTGTTTGGAGAGGTACCAAAAAGGAAACAGCCTGGGACAGACTAAAATCAAGTCCTAAGCAATCCAACTGGAGCAGGGACAAAAACTTGAGTGATCAGCAACCAAGGAATACAGCTTATGAAAACTGCATGCAAATCCTTGCTTCTACTCGTATTGAAAAAAAAACAGAGACTTCCTATGCCTGAAGGGTGACTGCACCCAGAAGTTTGCTAAGAACTTTTTTTCCAGCTACTCAGTTGGTCTAATAAAAAGATATCACATCTACCTCAAAGAACCTTGCCTACCTATGTCCTTAGACCAACACAGTTACAACCAAAAACCAAGCATTGAAAAAATGTTCTTTCTTCAGGTTACTTGGCAGAGACAAGGGAAACTAAGAGAAACAAAGTACAAGTTAGCGGTGAGCCATCCTCTCCCTACAGCCTTACCTCCTGCTTTCTCATGGCTGAAATCAGATAAGCATAAAATACAAAGTATTATTCTCCTGGTACAGGGAAGAGGAGAGCTAATCTATTATACTAGTATTATGAAAAAACGGTATGTACAGAGCCATACACACTAAGGGGACACCGATAAAGAATTTCTTGGCTGATACCAATAGCCGATTATTCATCAGGCCAGGGCCGAACACAGGCATGGATAAACAGGGCAGCAGCCTGAGGCCCAGACTGAAAGAGGGCCTGAAAATGGTAATATTTATTATTATTGCTATCTCTGGCAAAGGGGGACCCCCAATACAAAAAGTTTGCCCAGGGCCACCAGGACTCTAGGTATGGTGCTGCACCAGGCATATCAGCCAATACAGATCCGATAACAAATTTACAGAAGCAGAGCCAGGCAGCATGGAGAGCAGCTCCCTGCAGGTAAGTCTGTAGAGAGGAAGCGGTGTGGGGAAGGGAGGGGGCATTGCAGGGGTGCAGAACACAGACCAAGGCCACCACAATAAGGGAGGGAACGGGGCAGGGCCAGGGACTGGGGCTGGGAGCTCTGGCCAGCCAGGACAGTGAATGGGATGCCAGGGTAGGGAGCAGGACAGAGCCAAGGGCAGCTTGTCCAAGGGATCAGCATCCCAGCACTTAAAAATGATGGCAGGGGTGCTTAAAGTAAAGCTCATTAAATAAGCTTTAGTTCAAGCACTGGTGCCACCATTTTTAAGCATGGGAAAGCTTTCAGGAGCAGAGCCAAGAGGGACAAGGGTGGAGGCAGGCTGCTCTCCGTGGGCTTGGGGCTTTCCACCCTACTCCCTTCGCCCTGGGAGCTGTGCACGCACCACATATCCCCTACCTGTCCAGCAGTGGGAAACGTAACTTGCTGCTACCACTGTGCCTGGACAGACAGGGGACATGCAGCCAGTGCACAGCTCCTGGGGCAAAGGCAGCAGGGCAGAGCATCCTGAGCCCACAGCAGGCAGCCAAACTTCTACCCCGGCCACATATCTGGGGGGGGTGGGGGGGAAGCACATACCCCCCCACACCTCCCCCAAGGGTGCCCCTCCCCACTCCCCATGCCTCCTGGACAAGCCACCCATGGCTCTGTCCCACATTCCTCCCCAGGGTCCCATTCACTGCCCTGGCTGGGCAGCACCCCCAGCCCCACTCCCACCCTCACCTTGGGGGCGTGATCTGCCCTCCCCCCCACCAGTGCCCCTTCTCCTCCACAGACTTACGTGCAGGGTGCTGCTCTCCACGCTACCTGACTGCATTCCTGGCCACGTGCATGCTGTGGTTGCACGCATGCATGCAGCGTCCAAGGGCACCAGCCAGAAGGCATATTATATTTATCGGTGACATTATCGGCTACAGCAGCCAAAAAATCCAAAAGTCGATAATGTTTATTTTCCTTTTAGGGATGCCAATCTGATACAGCACTTCTAATACACACTATTTTTCAAATGTTCCAATTACAAAGTTTTACTGAGCACATTAAAAGTTTGACACTAACTTCACTGATTCAATGATTCAGTTAAATGTATTATGAATAGCATCTTATCTGCCTCCTTTTTTTATTATGTTCCAGCACAATTATCTTATTGCCAGTTAAAATTTAAATTAAAGCAAATGATTAAGTCTATGTAAAAGAGTCCAAACAATCTCATCATATTATGACATTAGTTTGGCACAAAATCTGTAAGAACTTGAAAAAACCTCCAAAAATTGCAGACTACTGGACATTAATACTCCATGAACAGAAAAAAAGACAATGAAGCAGTCTTGTAACATAAGAATCCCTGAAAATAAAAAACTAAAATATTTGAGATTTAATTTTCAGAAAGAATTTTAAGTATTGTTAGTTCCACTAGTCCGTACAAACTATCACATGCTGAGTGCCAACCTTCTGTCCCCAGGGCACTAGAGACTGAGAATGTCACTGAAGTAATGCAATTTGCCCCTCTGACTGACAGGTGAATATACACCAGGGTGTCAAACTCAAGCGACACTGCAAACTGAATTTAGACCACAGGATTTCAAGCCAGCCATACAACACCTGAACAGTGGCAACAATAATGTTAAACCCCGTGGCTACCAGACCCACTGTTTCAGTGCCCTGTTTTTTCCCTCTGATCTTAATTTCCAGGAAAATCAAAAACCCTTACTTCAGCATCAAGGGGCATGGGAAGACAAGCAGTGTTAACTCCCAGTGTTCTAGGGCCATGCTGAAATACCAGCTCTGGCAGCCACAGGGATTAATATTGCCACTACAGGCCTCCAGAAACTACAGCAATGACCCCTCTCAGCTGAATATTTAACACCTCTGATGTACAGGTATACACTGCAGCAGACTGAGCGAAAAGCTCTAGTGGTCAGTATTCTGACTGCTAAAGTCACCAAAAATCAAAGACTTTGTAGAAGAAGAGAGTTTAAAAATAAAGAAGACAGAAGCAGGAGATCCCCAAATACCCCATGTGCTCTCTTGTACTTACCAAGATAACCTGCAAAATGTCCTTAATTTAAGTCATTTACACATCTCTCCATTAATTCCAGATGGGCAAGCATCTTTAAGCTATATCCTAAAGCAGCCCCAAAGTTTAACCCTGAAAGAAAAATAAATGTGGTTCATTAAACAAGTATATAAAAATATAAATCTATTCAGTATTTTCAGTCAAAATGTTTTGGGGTTTTTTTTGCTGAAGCTGATAACTAGAAAAAGTTTTCCACTAGTATTTTAAATACAATGCAAGCATTTATTGCTAAAGTATAAACAGTTCTAAAATCACAGAAATAGAAGGCCAAACATTTGAAAAGCTGAAGTTTCACTCAAAACAAAGTTTCTATCCGTCTTGGTTACAAGAAGAAACAAACAACCCCTCCCATCCCCACATCAGAAGATCCTTCCAAATTCAACCTATTGCCAGCTTTTCAGTATTTTAGTGTTCAGGGCAGTTTCACAGCTGATATTCCAATTGCTATAGACCTCAGTGGGTGCATCTACAGCTGCTCTTTAATGCACAGTATTTTACTGTGCATTAAAGCATCACATAAAAAACCTGACATTACATTAATGTGCAGTAAAATAGTCTACTGTGCATTAAGCATCACTAAAAAAAACGTTCTCAAATGACCTACTGCACATTAGTACAGACTAACACATATTAATTTAATACCCGATACCGGAGGTGTTAAATTTAATGTGCATTAAAAAAGGCACATTATTGCATGTGTAGACATGCCCAGAGAAACTCAAGAATTATGTTAATATTATGACGACACGCTTAAGAAAAATTCTAGGTTTGCCTCTAATGCTGCTCATAAGTTAACTCACTATGGAGAATGACCCCAAAAATGGAGGGAAAGAGAAGGAACAGAAAAAGTTCAAAGACATGAAGGCTCAACTTTTCATACTCGTGTCTGTAAAGAATTCTCAAGAGGAACCAGCAACCAAAGAGATCAGCACTTTCTTCCTTCACAGCAATGGGATTCTCACTGAAATGCACTACTGGAGTCCCCCCCCAGTAAATATCTAAACAATTTTTTCATCTCTTCATATTTAGTCAGATAACATGTCAGAAGGAGACACTATCTTAGCATAGAAGGCAAAGCAATGCAAAATGTTATATGAGACTTGAGTGGCAAAAGCTTATGCTATAACTACAGGGTCTCCAGTTACATTAGAGTACAGACAAACCTTTCTAATCATATGACTGGATAATCAAGCTGACAAGCAAATGAAAATCAGCTGAAAATGAACAAACTGTAAGAGTCCACAATTTCATACAAGAATATACAGTCAAATTAACAATGCTTTCCGCAACAGTCTATATTAGACATTGTATTATTAGAAGATTTTTCATTTCTGTAAAATGAAAAAAATGTATTATATTAGAAACTACCTGAACTGGATCTTGGAACAACCAGAGAGGCCATTTACTTATTATAAAACCTGATCTCTGACTTCAGAGGATGCAAAGCCAGGAAATTCTAACACCTTAAGTAGAAGGTTGTACACACAGATTGTACGTAAATCTCTCTCTAAACAGTGAAGGGACAATTATAGTAGTTGTGAGAAAACCAGATGGTTTTAAAAGATGCTACACAGAATTATGATCAAATGTCAACTCTCAAATGTGTATTTTAACATGCATCAACCATGTTGTATTCAATTTTAGATGCAACTTATCACTGCCCAGTGACTCGATACAAGAACTAGAGGCTGAGATTAACTGGCATGAATATTCCCCAAAGGAAGAGTTCTATATACCCCTTAGGTCTGTATACTGAACAGTTTAAGTCACCACAGCTGTACATAACTTTAAAAAAAGTAAGAAAAGCTAAATTCATCAGGAAATTAATCAACACAATTACAGTTAAAATGATCATATTCATGTCTTATTTGTATTTGTTGCTACAAAATCTAAAACAGACGCAATATTTTCTTTTCATTGTTTATATTTTTCTGCCAACAACTCTGTCCATAATCACAAAGCAAAAGGCACTTTGAAAATTATCTTCCATATTTCTTCAGAATATGAGAGGTAGCTTGCTAGGATGTAGACAAGTCTAGGCACTTGATTTGCTTTACTGTTTTATAGTACATTAATTTGTTAAAGTTTGATAAGAATTGTTGAAATGTTATGAAGAGACTGATTCTGTGTGTCACTTAATGCATCCTCTTGATCTGAGGCATTTTAAATTTTCATTGTACTTAAAGCCAACTGAGCAACAGTTCAAAAATGACTCAAGAATGCAGATGGTCATAAACTTACAACATAGCTGCAATAAGTGACTTGTATAAGAAATTAATATTTTCAGTGGTTAGGTTAAAAAAGGGGACCAGGGAACAATCCCTCACTCATCCTATACAACAAATTCATTCTTGGAAATTAAACTTGGTGAATCAGGTTTACCTTTATTATTATTCATCTTGCACAAGAGGAAAACATATTTTAACTTAGAAATAACATGAATAAAATATTCTGTTCCAGAAGAAAACCAACCTGAAGTGAATTTTATAGTACTGCAACCTTTTAAGATTAACAAGTACTTGAATGCACTTGTGTAATACCAAGTTAAATAAGCTGCTGTTTAAAATTACATGGATCTTAACAAGGAAATGTGTTTCAGTTTGATTTTTCAAACACTGAAAGGAAAACTCATATTAATTTAATAAAGAGAGAATCTTTTCATGATCAAATGCTGTAACAAGTTTTATACCAAAAGGTGAATTTAGCCATAATTAAACCAACCTCATTCAAAATTCAAATAGCTACTCCTCCTTAAGAATCTTGTTCAAGTGCATAAAATCTGGGTGTACAACAGGGCCTGGTATAATGGTAATTATAGTTTAAAAAAAAAAGTTGCACTGATTTTTGTTTTCCACCAAGTTAAAAAAAAAGTGTTTGCCTGAAGAAGTCCAAATCTAAATTATTATGCTCTCCTTACTGTAAAATTTCCTTAAACTGGTTTGTGAAATAAAGTTTAGCAATTCTAAAACAGAATTCAGCTTGAAGCTATGAAAATAGGTGGTCATATATACAGTTTCAATAATGTCATACTTTCTATGCGATGCTCTGAAAAAATGTATTGTTAGTGACAAATAGAACACTTTTCCTGACAAGTAAAAAGGTAGTGACAATTCTACAAAACTTCAGCTTTCTTCTTTAAATCTATGCATTTATAAACAACACAGTTAAAAAGATTTTGAACATGAGCTCATAAACTGATGTCTTTCTGATCCTACAAACAACTCCAGCAGGTCTACTGCTCCCAGCTTTCTTCAAGAAATTAGCAAGACCCTGCAGGCTGTCATCGCTGCCATTAAAAACCCCGTGACCAGTAGGGAAAGTAAGAAAAAGCATGTCAGTTTTACTCTGCTGTCTAAGGAACAGACACAGGTTATTCATAGGGTAAGATCAAGAGAAAGAGAAGCAGGCACCTTCCCAGGTTACAACCGAGAGACTAGGTAAGCGTCCCCTAGACGGTACAAAACTCACAATCCTCACAAAGCTCAAAGGAAGGAGAATTTCTCTTCCCCTATAGCAACCAGTAGTATATATATGTCTATATGCAGAATGCAAAACCTAATTTTATCAGACACCTATCATCAGTTGACACAAAAGGTAGACCCCTATTCTGAGGCTAGCAATTATTTTTATTTAGAACAATTTGTGTCAAAGGATATATTAAGGGCTTAAAGAATTTACATAAATCAATAATCAGAAGAAAAACAGCTGTATCCTTCCTTCACAGTCACCAAAACAAACTGAATCAGAATAGGTACTTTCAGTCTAAATATTACCAGACAGTGGAGGCAATTAACTTAAATCGTACTGCACCTAGCTAAGGCTTCACTCACTGGCTTTATCCAGCTCTCAATCTCCCCAAGCTCACCCACTACCCCTTCTCCCTCTCACAGCTCCTAACATAACACTACATTCTGAGATCACTCAGAAATTGAATTGAATGCAGCCCAATTATGGAACTGAGTGTCTATCACTAGAGGCACCTGTTACCTCTAACACAGCAGGAGTTAGTTTTTAACTTTTACTGTTTTAAAAGTAAAGCTTTATCAGAGAAACTGACTTCCTCCCTGCACTGTATTGTCACAGTAGCAGTTAACTAAGACAGTATTTCCACAAACAACCCACAATTATGAAACTCACTTTTCCCCACCTGGGCCACCAGAGATCAGATCTGTTAACCTTCCAGTTATACTGCATATTCCACTATTTTCTTTTGTTAAATCAAATGTAGATGAGAGGGAGCAGGCCTGTTAATAAAACAAAATTCTAATAATACTATCTGCATTGCAGAATAAGATGCATAACATTTGAGCTCTGGTAGACAAATGTTTTAAAGGGAATTAGAGAGCTATTGATCCCAATGATAAACTTGTCACCAGCCATTCTGTTTACACCAGAACACGGACTGACCTTTCAACCCCAGCTACATCATAAGAGAAAGATATTTTTAAAGGTCACCAGGACCCAAAACAACTGAAGTTTTACAAGCCAAACCCACCACCTTGAATTACACCTGGATATAAACTATAAGCTAGTATAAACTAAGAAACAGTAGAATAACATACAGTCAGCAAAAAGCATTCCAATACATGGCTGAAAATTCCAAGAGGCCTACAGATGCAGCTCTCACGGGGCCAATGTTACAGTGATCTACTCTGAAGATGAACAAGATGAAGAGAAGTGGACAACAATGACATGGTCACCATCCAAAAGGGAAGACAGCAAATTCTGATGAACCAAAGACAAAAAAGACACATCTAAATAGCAGAAGTGGACAAGGATAACAGTCAGAAATGGAAATCTGAGCTTTTCACCAGGGTACTGACCCTGGTCCTTAACACTGCACCTCCACAGCTATCTTCTGTACCACAGCCTCATGCTTACAATAGCCTAGTATTTTATAAGTGTATCTCCAACTTCCTTTCCCCTCCTCAACCAGCTGTTATTAAACAACCTCATGTTTGCCCACAATATAATGGGACAAGAAACATTTCAGCATTGTGTCATTGTCCAAAGTTCTATTTATGAACACTGATACCTATTCACAAAGAGCATTGTCTCCACAATCATAAATT